TTATTTTCTAATTGGCCGATATTAATACATGCATATCGATATCTTAATTCTTATTCGAATTCTTATTGGCTAATATATATCTGTTCCAGTGAGATAATCGTTCCAGTGAGAAATTATCACTGGAACCACTGGAATACTAGAAAAATCTAGACATCCAGTGGGGTTTCAGCTTTCAGTCAACAACACTGGACAAGGGCAAACAAAAAGAAGTAGTTGAGGATGTAGAAGATGTTGAAAGTATAGAGAACATAGAGGAAGACTGGTAAAAATAATAATATAAATTGTAATTACTATAATTTAATATAATAAAATACTAAAAATAATTTAAAATTAATAGGTGGAGTAGGTGGGTTTCAGATAAAAATGAGAAGAATATAATGTTTTAGTTGGAAGAGAAGAATAGAAGATTGGAGAAGATGTTGGATGAAGTAGTAGAATTGGGAGAATTTAGATTGGAAGTGTTAAGAGGGATGTTGAAAGATGAACAAAGAAAATATGAGAAGTTGGATATGGAAAAGAGAAAATTTGAGTTGGGGTACAATGTATTGAGGAGAAATATGCTTGAGGTGTTAGGTACTATAGATAGAAGAAAAGAGAAAGATAGAGAAAGACAGAGGTTAAGAGAAAGATATGATTTAGCAGAATTTGGTGAAGAAGTTGAAGAAAATGAAAAAGAAGACAAAGATAATAATGATGATGAAGAATCTGAGAAAATTGAAGAAGAAGAAAAAGATTATGAAGTTTGGTTAGATGATAAGTTGAGAAAATATGAGACAATGTTAGAAGAAAAATCAGCAAGTGAAGAAGAAGAAAGTAGTTTCCTGATAATATTAACAGATGAGATTGGTGAGAGTAGTATGCAGTGTTTGGAGGAGAATATAGATGAGAATTATATACAGAAGGATTAGATTTTATTTCTTTGTTTCTTTGTTTTGCTGGTTATATATATAATAAATTTTTATCTTTTAATATTTTTCTTTTTATTAATTTTTAAATCTTCTTTTAAATCGTATCTAAATCAAACTCCTAACTAATTTTAAATTTAAATCCTCAAAATTTTATTAGTAAAAAAAAAATATTACGAAAGAAAAAATTCAAATTATAATCTTTATATACTACTCCCTTGCTTTATATGATTCTTCCAGAATCATATTTAAGGTTAGTACTGAATATATTATACTTCGTATATATTAAATTAAATAATTAAATTTATTTAATTTCAAAAATATTATTTTATCACATCGATCCTTTTAGTAATTAAACTTAATTTTCGATATATTGAAATTTCATTATCAATTTCGTAAGATTTATTCAGTTAATAAATAGTTCTTTTTTGTTTAAATATTATCTTCATTACGTGTAATATATTTTCTTATATTAAGTTAGAGTTTAAATCTTTTGTCGTCTAATATTCTCCTAGATTCAGGATTGTGAAACTTAAATAATTAGTACTCTAATCTATTTTAATATAACAATTTAGTCTCAAACGTTTATATCTTTTAAATCTTTATAGATTTCCATCCCGGTTTGAAAATTATCTAAGTACAACGGCACTTTCTTATTTACATGTTCCAATTCAAGGTATAATAAGATCAATCAATTTTCTCTATTTATTGATTTATTTGTGTTCTAATCGATTTTATTCTTGCTTTATCCAGTTTCTTTCAACCTTTTATAGATTATCTAAAGTAATCTATTAATGTGATCCCTCTTATACATTCATGAAATATCTTTTAAGTATGTTTAGTTTAATTTTCCAGGTATGATCTCAAAATTTTTATTCTTAAAACTATTGTAGACTTCTATTATTAGCATAATGAATACTATCAATTATTTATTAGTAGCCTTCTTTCGAGTTAGTCTATATACATTCATTTCATCATACTGAGATGGTTTTCTGTAAATACTTCAACCATAATAATATTAAATTATAAATGTCTACTGCTATTGTAAACTTTTGATCTGATAAAATTTCAGATATAACATAAGGCATAGCTCCATACATTTTACCTTCTGAATCGTTTTCATCTTTCTTTCTAGTTATTCATTTCTACGTTGATGAAAAATACTTATTCAAATTCCTTTTAGTGATTTTCTAATTTACTAATAAGTATCTATTTGAATATCTTCATATACTGTGCCTTTAAGTTAAATTAATACAATTATCAATGTCTTTTATTTCCACTTGTCAATTCTTGTATTATTAATAATATGACTCTATTATATTTTAACTCAATAATAAATTTATAGTTTATTTAATAAATAAAAAATACAATCTCATTAATGACGATCATTATGTCATCATAATGTATTGTTCTTTATTTAAATAGTAATTTAGACTGATTGACTAATTCATATCCTTTTTCACTTTTAATTCCTTCATTTTAATTTCCTTATCTAGTATAATACTTCTTTAACAATTTTCTATTTATAGATGTCTTAATTACTTTTCCATCGACGGATCGTAATTTGTATACTCCTTTCTCCAATACTCTATGAATCACAAAAGGACCCTTCCACTTCGAATGAAGTTTATGGCTTTTTGAATGTTGTTAAGAAGCCTTATTAAATCACCTTTTTAAATTCTTCTATATGTTGTAAGTCTTGATCATGTCTTCTTTTAGCACTTTCTTGTGCTTTTTTGACTCTTCTAATAGTATCATTTCTTACTTTAGATAGTATTTCAACTAATTTAAAAATTCTTTGAAGAAATGTTCCTTTCAACAATTCTTCATTTTCATCAGGGTGAATAGAAAATCGGGCTTTTTTTCCATACACTAAGAAGAATGGAGTTATCTTTGTCGTATTCTGTTTGGCGGTTCTATAAGCAAAAAGTACTGAAGGAATAAGTGAGTCCCATTTTCTTACATTGGTGACTAATTTAGATATAGATTCACACAATGTCTTATTGAATCTTTCAACTAATCCATTCGTTTGTGGATAATAGAGTGTCGAATAGTGATGACTAATGGTAAATTTCTTTAAAAATTCATCTATTAAGTTATTACAAAAATGAGTCTCTCGATCGGATAGGAGGTATTGTGGACATTCATGGCGACAAACGATATCTTCATATATAAAGTCTGCTACCTCTTGAGCATAAGCATTCTTTATTGCCCTAGCTTCTGGCCATTTGGTCATGTAGTCTGTAGCAACTACAATGTACCTATTACCTTTAGGAGTTACAGGTAATTTTCCTACTATATCAATTCCAATTTTGTAGAATGGAGCTTCTACTGGAATTGGATACAATGGAGGCTTTGCTAAATTCTTTCCTCTTTTTTGACAAGAATCGCAAATAAGAATGAATCTTTGTATATCAGTGTATATTTGCGGCCAGTAGTATTTATTTCTAATTTTATTGAACATTATTTCAATCCCAAAGTGTCCTCCTAACAGATGAGTATGAACTAAATATAAGATTGGTTCTACTTTATATTTTTAAATAACTCTAAGTATATGATTAACTTTATGTTTATATTTCTTATAAATTAAGCCATTCTTTACAATGAAGAATTGACTTTGGCCTTGAATACTTCATCGTTCCTGTGAAGTTAAAGTCTTTGGTAAAGTATGTTCTTGAATATAATTCTTTAATAATTGATATCGTAGTAACTCCATCTTCTTAATTTTGCCAGGACACCGACTACCTGGACTGGATTACTTTTAATGTTGGATTTGAAAAATTTAAGCTTTTTTAGTATTCCCTTTTTTTTTTTTTAATAAATTTTGACTTTCTTACAATTCATTAAATTAAAACTTTGTATATTTCTTTTCTTTGATTACACTTAATTAGGTTCAATTTTCGCATAGTACTTATTTCGGTTGCAAGCCCAAACAGTACCAGGCTTAATCTAATGACTTATAGGTTAGACAAACCTCCTAATTTTTGCGCAGTACTTATTCTGGTAGCAAACCCAGCCAGTACCAGGCTTATTGAGCATCTTACAGGCAGAGCACCTCCTGTTTTCGCACAATAGGTGACTTACAGGCAGAGTATCTAAACTAATTTTCTTTTGTATAAAAATTTTATTTTTATTTTTTTTAAAGTTTTAATTAATTTCTATTATTATTTTCAATTAACTTAAATTTTTCTTATTTTCTATTAAGTGATTTTGATTTCGAATTGAAGTCTCAATGTTTTTTTTTTTTTTTTTTTTTTTAATATAATAGGATCGCCTAAGATTTCTACGATAACTTAACAAATTTTCATCGTCCTCTTTTAAGACACTCAATCATGGGATATATGTTCCATTTTTTTACAAATAAAACAAGTAATACTATTACTTGTCTTATTTTGAATAATTACTTAAATATTCTTAAATAAGTCGAGGATTTAATTTATTTTCTTGCTTCTCATAATATTTTCCAACTTTAACTAACCTCGCATATTGCTTCTTTGAGATTAAAAAAAAATAAAATCTAGCATTGATTCTCTTAAATCATTTTCAAACCTTCGGATTACATAATCCTTTGGTAAGTTTTCTTTTTGTGTTATCTTATTTCAGATAATCATAGAAGTATCTTCAATTACTACAAGTCAGAAATTTTAATTTCTTTTTCTTTTTAATAGATACATCCTAGATAAAGTATCCACGTTCAAATGTTTTCTTCCGGCCCAGTGTATAATAGAGTGATCATATAGCTGAAGTCTTAGAATCTAATGCATCCTTTTTCCTTTTGGTTCCGAGGTATGTAACCATTTAAGAGCAGCATGGTCCATAATTAGCGTAAAGTGTTTAGCACCTAAGTAATAATAAAAGTGTTTAACAGCCCAGACTACGGCTAAACACTCTAATTCAGGTGCTGAATAATTTCTTTCAGTCTTGGAAAGTCCTCGGCTTGCATATGCCACCGCATATTCTTTGTGGTTTTTATCTTTCTGAGCTAATACAGCTCCCAATCCTACGCCAGAAGCATCTATATAAAGGTAAAATTCTTCTTTAAAATTCAAATACCTTAGTATAGATGCCTTCATTAGGTGGTTTTTTAATGTATCGAATGCCACTTGTTGTTTATCCTTCCATTGAAAGAGAATATTTTTTCCTATTAATTTATGTAACGGCCGGGCTATTGTTACAAATCCTTTTATAAATCGATGATAATATGACGCTAAACCAATAAAACCTCTTAACTGCCGAATATTTACTGGTATGGGAAAATTTTTTATTTTTTCTATTTTTGATTCATCAGGTCTTACCCCCTCTTTATTAATTGTCACAGATTATCGTGAAATCAGATCATCGTGAAATTTGGGGTCTTAATTTGAAAATATAAGCCCTACCAAAATCTACCTATACTCTTTTATTAATAATTCTAACTCTAAACCCTAACTTAACTATAAAAAAAAAGCTTACAAAAAAGGTCCCAAAAAAATTTAAAAATCATATATAAAATAAATCTAAATTTCACGATGATCCGATTTCACGATAATCCGTAACATTAATTATATGTCCCAGATAATTAATCTCAAACTTAAAAAATATGCATTTTTCTGGATTTAACTTTAATCCTGCATTTTTTAATTTATTAAAAATAATTTTTAGGTGTTCTAAATGGTCCTGAAAGGAACTGGAGTAAATATTAATGTCGTCCAGATATACAATAGCAAAGGTTCCATTACAATCTCCAAGTAACTTGTCCATAAGTCTTTGGAAAGTTCCCAGCGCATTACAAAGGCCAAACGGCATGACCTTAAATGCGTAAGTTCCATATTTAGTTATAAATGTTGTCTTTTCCAAGTCTTCTTTATTAACTCCAACTTGCCAATATCCACTCATTAGATCGAGAGTGAAAAACCATCTAGCCTTTCCAAATGTGTCGAGAAGATCGGTAATATGTGGGAGTGGATATGTATCCTTTTTCGCAACTGCATTTAATTTTCTGTAATCTACACAGAATCGCAGTTTACCGTTTTTCTTCGGTACTATAACTACTGGAGATGCCCAAGGACTATTTATTTCTATAATAAGTCCTTGTTCTATTAATTTATTAATTTCTTTCCTAATAAATTCATTTTCTTCGTAGGCTGCCCGGTAGTATCCCTGTTTAATCGGATTGGCGTCACCGGTATTAATGCTATGAGTAATAGCATTGGTTTGACCTAAGTCTTCAAGTTCTTGGGCAAATATTTCCATTTTGTTAAGTAAAAATTCTTTTACTTTTAATTGTTGTTCTTTATTTAAATCTTCATTGTTAACTATTTCTTGTAGTTTTTCTTTTAGAGTTTTTTCTTTCTCGTTATCTTTGTCTTCTTGTAGGATGAGAACTTCCTCTATATTAGTTAAGTATAGTACTGGACTCTCTGTACTATATAAGAGTCAACTTTTATTTTCAGTCTCATTGAATTCGTCTTCTTCATAATCAAATTCGTCAAAAGTATCTTCTCTATTACTATAAATTTCTTCATCTTTATTCGTTTTAAAACCTTTAGTACCATTATTAAAAATTGGTACTTCTGCTATTTTATCAGCATATTGTAAATATAATTTCTGCTCATCAAAGTGAATCCGGGCTTTAGTCTTTTGAAACCAATCAGTTCCTAATAATAGAGTATCTTCAGAAGATTCAATTACATGTAAGTTTGTAGATACTACCACTTCTTTAATTATTATTCTCATATTTCTAATTTGTCCTAATGTATTGGCTTTTTTTTCTGTAGCCATAACTACTGTTGTAATAGATTTATTGTCTATTTTTAGCTCTAATTTATTTAATAAGCATTTAGATATAATGCTTACTGCAGTGCCTGAATCCAGCACCGCTAATACTGGATTATTTCTTATCTTAATGTAATATCATGCTGCGGTTGTACGATAATATTCTTTAATAAATTTTACTTTTTTTGTTATTGATGTTCTTTTTAATATATCAGCCAAGTTTCTTCTTTGATTAGGGTATTGAAGAATCTGTCCCACAGTAGCACTCATAGGTAGAGCTAGAATATCATCTGCGATATTATAAGGTCGTAAAGAATCAACTTTCAAAGGTCCTCATTTTCTTTTCAGATTTATTTGTGAGAATGTTTTTTTTATAATTGCTGGTTCTTCAATTTCTATATTTTGTTCTTCTTCCAGTTGTTTTTGAGGCACTCTAACTGTCTTGCGCAGTCTTTCCTCCCACTTTGGATTCGCTAGACGTTTTACTATTTTTTTTAAGGTAGATTCATTATTTATTGTATATATTTCTTCTTTAGGGTTATTTTCTATTTTACAAAAACTAATAGTTTTTGTTTGACAATTATTCTTATTTTGTTGATTTTTATAAGTGTATCCTTTTTCAGACATACACTTTCTAGCTACATGACCTACTTTACTATATTTGCCATATTTAAGTCCTTCATTCTTTTCCTATCTATATCTATTTTGAGAACGTCCTCTATAAAAGCTTTCTCTTGAACGATAAGTTCTTGTATCCTTTAATTGAGCGGATAAGGTCGCATAATTTAATGCCAGGCCTTCAATACTTTTCTTTAATTCAAATAATTTGCTTCCTACTTTCTGCTATATATTTTCTTGTTCAGATAATCATTGGCTATAATAACCACCAGCTTTGACTCTTTTTGCTACAGCTATCGCTTCAGCTAAATTTTTAGGTGCGGCTACAGCTACAAAAGTGGCATTATTGCTCTTTAATCCATTTAAAAACATTCTTACAATGTATTTATCAGAGAAACCATTATTCACATTAACCTTACTAAGTAATTTTTTAAACTTAGTAGTATAAGCATCTAATTTCTTATAATTTTTCTGACGCAACTCATATAACTCAATTTGTCAGCGATGTTGTTGTTCTTCGGGAGCGAATTCTTCTACAAATAGATGGTAAAAACTTTTATTTTGTTCTCTTATATTTCTATCTTTTACCTTCCAAAATTTAATGTCTGCTTTGTTTTCTTTATACTATTCAGCAGCCATTTCCTTTAAGTATCCTGACGTGATTTGGATTCTTCAATCTTCAGTCCAATTATTGGCTTCGGACGCCTTTTCAAAATCATCAAACCATTCGAAAGGATCTTCATCATCGGTGCTATAGAAAGACTTAATCTTTACAAGATTATTTTTTTTTGGCATTTTAGTCTCTTCTTTACTAACCAATTTAGTCATGACTTTCATAAACTGTTTGATTCATTTTTTTTTTTATAACTTTAGGTTATTTTGAAAGTAAGTATCTCACAGTTACCACCAAATGTTACGGGGTGAATCATATCCTTTACTATGAAAAATATGAAAATAGATAGTTTTAGATGATTAGGCAACTTGCCAGAGGCATGACGATGGTGATTTAGCAATAGTTTAGTTTTAAAATAATATTATCAAGGTGATTTATTCAATGTTATAAATTAGGAATACCATAATCCCGTAGGATAAGATTATTCTTTACAAGAGAGAAATTACAGGGTTTTTATAACTTTCGCTATCCTAATGATCTCAAAAGGCTTGGGGATAAATCAAATAAATTAGATCTTTCATCATGAAAGATCAAGGAAGGATCATTATAACTAAAGGGGCTTACAAAGATAAGTACAACATAATTACAATAATTAAAGCTTTGCCTTTACAACATTTTCTATTTTAACTATTTCTAATTATTCATAATTTTTGTTTTCTTCTCTTTAGATCTTCATTTGTTCTTCTTGGAATTCTTCTTCAGATTTCACGTAGATTATCTTTCCATTATTTAGCCGGTAAGCCTCATGTACTAGTCGATCTGAAATTCCGATAATCAATCTGCTTAAAGTCATGAGTTTGCTGTGCCGATTTGTCAATCTACCTTTTAGCCCGTAACATTATTAAGAATTTACTATAGTCATATAATCTAATAAGTTATAATAGATTTTTACAAAATTATTGTTTCTGTTTAAAGATACACTTCATTAAACATCTCACTTGTCTAAAACAAAAAATGTTATTTAAATATTTAGAGTTTACTAATATTTAACCTGTGGTATTACTACAAAAGTTTATAAGCAAACAGAAAATATATACCAGATTGAGTAATTTTGATTGGCTAGAAGCGATAATCAAAAAATTAGGCTAATTTTACTAATAAAATTACAGATACTCACTAAGTAAAAATTATTTCTAGATTAAATACAGGCTTATTTTTTAAAAATTTCTATTTTTGTAATAAAAAAATTAAAAAGTTAATTCTAGCTGAAAAGTAGTAAACAATTACTATATATTCCCAAAAATAAGCTACTATTTTTGGGCAAAAAATTACACAAAAATTTCAGGAGTAGCTTATTTTTGAGTAATAAAGGTTTTTGACTATTTTTTATTAAGTAAACGTAGTTTTTATATATAAAAAAGTAGTTTATATATATATAAGTCAAAATTGTACTAAGTAAATCGGTAAAAGTAGCTTAATAAAAGTTATTCATAATTTAAAAATATATCTATTCTGAAAGTTTCATACAATTTGGATAATATTTTATTAGTACATTTTTGCATTTTAAATTTAAATTTAAAATGCAAAAGTGTACTAATAAAACATTATTCAAATTGTATGAAACTTTTAGAATAGATGTATTTTTAAATTCTGAACAACTTCTATTATGGTCAATATATATATTTACTTAGTATAATTTTGACTTTTATATATAACAACTGTTAAAAATTTTTAAAAAATTCGAGGGTAGCTTATTTTCGGATAAGAGAAGATTCTGAGTTTTTGCCTCAAAAGTGAGGGGGTAGCTTATTTTCGGAGTAGCTTATTTTCGGGAATATACAGTATATAATGTGGGCCAAAATTTTGATGATTCTTGGCTATTAGCCAATTAAAATTGAGAATATGCCACATATTTTTTGTATAGCACCTAGGGTTAATTATATACCAGGTTGGTGTACCACATATAGGGTTCCAAACTATAACTGAATAACTATATACCCGATAACCCAACTCATAAAATTTGCTACCCAGGTTACTTTTTTGACAAACCGGTTTAAAATAATTTACAGGTGACCCTTTATTAATTGAATAACCTACTTAATAATGGATGACTCGCTTTATACAGGTGACCCATTTTATAATAGGTAACCTGATAATAAATAGTTGGTAGATCAATTAACCAATCTATATTACCAACCAGTTTAAAATTAAAGTTTGAGATAAAGTTTGAAAGCTTGTCATTATTGTTATATGATAATCAATTTCAGTATCTTTCTTTGTTGTGATAAAGATTTTACAAAAACTCTTTGCCTTTTTGTGTATAAATTTAAACTTTTTTTTTGGAAAACTTTGCTTTTTGTCAAAATTGCACACCAAATATCTACTTACTAACGTTAACTGCGTAATACTCTAAACATTGTAATAATTATAGTTAGTACTTACACAAACCCAAACCAAATTAAACTTTAGGTTAAATTTGAGTTTGATTTGAGGTTCAAATCAAACCCAAATCAAACTATTTTTTTAAATATTGCTTGATTTGAGTTTGAAATCAAACTTTCAAAAATGGTTTGGGTTGATATATATTGTTAGAGTTCCTATGAATTTGTGGTTCAAAGTTTATAAACATGTTCAAAAGTTCAAAAAAAAAAAAAAATAAATAATTGCAAAGATAAAAATACTTATATCTTATGATCTACTAGACCAATTTTAACATTTTAACTGTTTCCAAAACACTTCTCTACAACTTTACTTAAGCACTGAAAAGAGGTTTACTTAGTAAAGAAAAATTTTTTCCTTTAAGAAACTCCAAAGTTAAAAAGTTTTTTTATAATAAAAGTTTTGAATTTTAACTAAAACATTTTTCTTTACTAAGTAAACCTATTTTGTAATCAAAATGATAGTTAAAACGTTAAAATCAGCCCAGTAGATTGTGAGATATAAGTATTTTTATCTTTGCAATTATATGCTTTCTTCTTTATTTTTAAAGAAAAAAATTTTTTTTTATATAAATAAAGAAGAAAACAAAGATAAAAATACTTATATCTCGCGAT